GGGGGGAAAAAAATGGAAAAAAATGGAAAAAAATGGGAAAAAATGGGGATAAAATGGGGAAAAAATGGGGAAAAACAGGGAAAAAATTGGAGGAAAATGGGGAAAAAAAATGGAAAAAAATGGGGGAAAAATGGGGAAAAATGGGGGAAAAAAGGGAAAAATTGGGGGAAAAATGGGGAAAAAAAATGGAAAAAAATGGGGGAAAAATGGGGAAAAAAAGGGAAAAATTGGGGGAAAAATGGGGAAAAAATGGGTAAAAATGGGGGAAAATGGGGAAAAAATGGGGAAAAAATGGGGAAAAATTGGGGAAATTGGGGGAAAATGGGGGAAAAATGGGGGAAAAATGGGGGAAAAATGGGGAAAAATTGGGGGAAAAATGGGGAAAAAAGGGGGAAAAGGGAAAAATTGGGGAAATTGGGGGAAAATGGGGGAAAAATTGGGGGAAAAATGGGGGAAAAAAGGGAAAAATTGGGGAAAAATGGGGAAAAAAATAAGGAAAAATTGGGGAAAAAAGGGAAAAATTGGGGGAAAATTGGTGAAAAATGGGGAAAATATGGAAAAATGGGGGAAAAAGGGGGAAAAATTTGGGGAAAATGGGGGAAAAATGGGGAAAAAAGGGGAAAAAAAAGAGGAAAAATTGGGGAAATTGAGGAAAAATGGGGGAAAAAAATAAAATAAAATAAATTATAATAATAGAATAAAAGAAAGGAATTTTAGGTGGGAAAATGAGGAATTTTAGGTGGGAAAATGAGGAATTTTAGGTTGAAAAATGAGGAATTTTAGATTGAAAAATGAGGATTTTTTATCAAAAAATGTGGAATTTTATATCAGAAAATGAGGAATTTTATATCAGAAAATGTGCAATTTTATAGGAGAAAATGAGGATTTTATATCAAAAAATGTGGAATTTTATATCAGAAAATGAGGAATTTTATATCAGAAAATGGGAATTTTATATCAGAAAATGAGGAATTTTAGATCAGAAAATGGGGAATTTTGGGGATTTTTTGAGAATTTCTTGGGAATTTTTAGGGAATTTTGGGGGAAATTTTTGGGAATTTTGGGGAGAATTTTTGGGAATTTTTTGGGAATTTTGGGGGAATTTTTTTTGGAATTTTTCGGGAATATTTTGGGAATATTCTGGTAAATTTTGGGGGAAATTTTTGGGAATTTTTTATATCAGAAAATGAGGATTTTATATAAGAAAATGAGGAATTTTAGGTCAAAAATTGTGGAATTTTATATCAAAAATTGTAGAATTTAAGGTTGGAAAATGAGGATTTTATATCAGAAAATGAGGAATTTTAGGTGGTAAAATGAGGAATTTTATATCAAAAACTGTGGAATTTTAGGTTGAAAAATGAGGATTTTATATCAAAAAATGAGGATTTTATATCAAAAAATGAGGATTTTATAGCAGAAAATGTGGAATTTATATCAAAAAATGTGGAATTTTATATCAGAAAATGTGGAATTTTATATCAAAAAATGAGGAATTTTATAGCAGAAAATGAGGAATTTTAGGTCAGAAAATGAGGAATTTTATATCAGAAAATGGGAATTTTATATCAGAAAATGAGGAATTTTAGATCAGAAAATGGGGAATTTTGGGGATTTTTTGGGAATTTCTTGGGAATTTTTAGGGAATTTTGGGGGAAATTTTTGGGAATTTTGGGGAAAATTTTTGGGAATATTTTGGGAATTTTGGGGGAATTTTATTTGGAATTTTTGGGAATTTTTTTGGAATTTTCTGGTAAATTTTGGGGGAAATTGGAATTTTGGGGGAATTTTATTTGGAATTTTTGGGAATTTTTTTGGAATTTTCTGGTAAATTTTGGGGGAAATTTTTGGGAATATTTTATATCAGAAAATGAGGATTTTATATCAAAAAATGTAGAATTTTAGGTCAAAAAATGTGGAATTTTAGGTTGAAAAATGAGGAATTTTTTATCAGAAATGTGGGATTTTATATCAAAAAATGAGGAATTTTGTATCAGAAAATGTGGAATTTTATATCAAAAAATGAGGATTTTATATCAAAAAATGAGGAATTTTATAGCAGAAAATGAGGAATTTTAGGTTGAAAAATGAGGAATTTTATATCAAAAAATTTTAGGTTGAAAAATGAGGAATTTTATATCAAAAAATGAGGATTTTATATCAAAAAATGTGGAATTTTAGGTCAAAAAATGTGGAATTTTAGATTGGAAAATGAGGATTTTATATCAGAAAATGTGGAATTTTATAGCAGGAATTTTAGGTTGGAAAATGTGGAATTTTATATCAGAAAATGAGGAATTTTAGGTGGGAAAATGAGGAATTTTATATCAAAAAATGACGATTTTATAGCAGAAAATGTGGAATTTTATAGCAAAAAATGTGGAATTTTATATCAAAAAATGTGGAATTTTATATCAAATATGAGGATTTTATAGCAGAAAATGAGGAATTTTATAGCAGAAAATGTGGAATTTTTTATCAAAAAATGAGGAATTTTAGGTGAAAAAATGTGGAATTTTAGATCAGAAAATGAGGAATTTTGGGGATTTTAGATTGAAAAATGTGGAATTTTATATCAAAAAATTAGGGATTTTCTATCAAAAAACGCGGAATTTTTCCATTTTTTTTAATTAAACAAATCTATAAATTTACAATTCCATCAATTTAATGAAATATAATTTATTTTAATTAAATCTCGATTTTTAATCCCCCCCAGCCCCAGATATTCCCAGGAGGAGAAATTCGCTGGGCCGGGTTCCGCCGGGATCCCCGGGAATACGGAACTCCGGAAATTCGGGAATTGGCTCAAAGCCTCCATTCCCAGCGATCCCAAATAACCTTGGCAACCCTGAGGATGCGGAGCCAGGGGCTGCGAGCTCCTCACTGGCACCTCAACGC